TTTAAGGGGGGGAGGGAATCTGACTTGTTTGTATTTTGTAATATTTTATTGTTGTTAGCCGCCCCGATTGATCTCAAAGAGGCGGGATATAAATAACAACAACAACAACAACAATAATAATAATGTTTAGGCACTATAGGAAATAGATGTTGAATTAGAAACAACTTTAGTCTGATCTAGCAAGGCTGGCCTTATATTCATGATACCTTTGAAACTGCTAAAATTGCCTCTCAGTTTGCTTGTTCTTTATGGCTGTCTACTCACCAGTACTGAAAAGAGATTATCTGGAGCAGTGCTTCTCACACTATTTGATGTCAGAACCTGGCAACTATTTTTTCCAAGGTGTCAGGGATCGCCACCCTATTTTGATCCACTGGCAATGTTTTATTTCTTTCCTGAAAACTGCCAGGAACTAGAAGCAAATGGTTGAGGGATCAGCAGTGGTCAAGAGACCACTATTTAGAGTAGTATTGATCTAGTCTAGGGAATACATGGTCAAAGTAGGGATCACACAGTTCTCCCTCCATATGTTGAGGATTGCAAATCTCAGCAGTCTTAAAAGCACAGCCAGTGGTGAAAAATCCTGGGAGTGCAGCCCAACAGAATTTGAAGGGCTGTATGATTCTCACTCCTGATCTATAGGATAACCTGTACTAGGAATAAGACAGGATTTGCAGAGTCACTACACAAAGGCAGCTCACCCTGAAGATAAGTGGTGACATGCAGGGCTGACTGTATCTGAACTTAGGGTAGGCCTGATTCTGCATCATATATTTCTATATCTAGCCAGTAAGGCAACTTGGAAAAATGCTTTCTGTGCTGGACACATTTTTCTTGATTGACCTTCTGGAGTTTGCTTATTACCAGTATCTAAATGTTACCAAACTTCCTATTTCCCCTGACCTCAGTATTTTACATTCTATTACAGTAAGCATATCTAAATATTGTGGGTATGAATCAGAACTGTAACAATAATTTGTGTGTGCCAGGACCAATTTCAGAGAGGTATGACTACACAGATGTCACTCAATCTTAGTAACCATCACAAAGGAAAATTTCCTTTCCAGACTGGCTTGTGCAGTTGAGGATAAATCAACTGATCAGCAATGACTTCTGATAGTTTGCTTTGTACCTAGACAAAACTTGGACAAAATTAAATGGAACTACTATTTCTGTAGAGCTCATATTGGAATTTATTATATAAAGTATTACTGTTCTGAAAACACATCTACTTTATGTTTTGTGTATCCAAACTTGTTTGCCTTAGATGTACTGATGATCATGAAAAGTACAGCCAGGGGCTCAAGACATAAAGCATTGTGCTTGTATGGCAGAGATGATTTATAGAGTTATGTTATTTATTTTATAAAGGGGAACTTCTCTACTATGCTGATGTCTTGAAAAGAACTCAGCCATTCCATACTACCTTTTCTTTAGTACCTGCAGCTAGATTGCTTTCACATTAAACAAGCAGTTCAGCACCTTCTTAGGCAATTGTATACAGCTGCAAAGTTATGTATAATATCCAAAACAACCAGCTAACAAGCAGTGGATTGATAACATTTGGAATTATGTATAAATTTACTCAAAAACTGCAGGAGGCAAGCAATCCTAATTTTAATAAAGATGGTATGTCACATGGTTTACATTTATTTCCTGTGTATAAGCCTTTCAAACGTCTGATCCAATTTCAGTCAAGTACAGTTGTTTATATTTTTCTGACTAATACATACAAACACAACTTATATATGCTATTCAACATATAAAGCCATTTTTTCATTATGTACTGAGCTTTCTGCATAGTCTGTTTCACTCCAGCTGTTCCACAAACATATCAATGATAGACTAAAACTTATAATCACCATGCATTATATATTTACTGATTTTACTGTTCTGCTTTGTATTATAATCTTTTGTTATCTTTATTTGGAAATTTATTGTTTAAAATTTTTTGAAAATTTGGAAAAACTACTTGGGTTTGGTAATGTTATACATCTTAGAAAAGAGGGTTCTTTTAAAAATACATATGTCTACGTATTTCACATAAAATAAATGAGAGCAAAACAAGGAGTTTCAACTACCATTTTCAAATGACTCTCAGTGGCATGCAGCAAAGTTTATGAGCAGATGGAGGAAGCACAGAAATATCATCTATGAACAAGGCATATGGATAATTCACTAAAGCAGAAATGTTCATATTATTTTGGATTGTTTGGTTGAAATGGATGCCTCCAAATTCACAAATTGCATTTACACTAACATTTATCATTAGCATCTGTCACCAAAAGTTTAACTGACTGGCCTTTTCATATTTGTAGAGCTCAGTTTTCTCCAATTCTACCATACTCTGAAGGGGGAAAAAATACTGAAAAGAACAAGAGAAATAACACAATGGTTCCACAGGTTCCACAAAGACTCATCACTGCATAGCAAGTAAAAAATATAGGTTTTCTGAGGTAGTTCAAATACTGTGTTCCTGTGACAAATTGAGATCACAATTAGCAATAAAAAGCAATGTGGCCATTCCAAAAAATAATTCTAAAAATTCTAAAAAGAATTATTGATGCAATATTGTTATCAGTCTTCCCTCAAATAACACAAAATGTGTGTGTAAGCTCTTTAGTTCTCCAGAACATTTCATTTAGCTGAATCATGGGTTGGTATGGCATGGTACTACACATGTTACAGTACAGCAACATCCAGTATTCCTTGCCATTAGTTATGTTGGCTAGAGCTGCTACAAGATGCAATTCAACAACATTTGGAGGGTCATTAAATTCCCAGATATATGACTATAATTTCTTGTCACTGCATTATTTGTCATTGCAATTATTTGAAATGTCATTGCACTGCAAATTGTCATTACATTATTTGCTCTAGATGCATTACTAATCCACCCCTAAAATTTGCATGCACTATTTCAGTCTATGCTGTTGTGTGCCTTCAACTCATTTCCAACTTACAGAAGCCCTAAGGTGAACCTGTCATGGGATTTTCTTGGCAAAAATTTGTCAGGCAGAGTTTCCCTTTGCCATCCTCTGGGGCTGAGAGGGTGTGACTTGCCCAAGATCATCCAGTGAGTTTCCATGACTGAGTGGGGATTTGAATCCTAGTCTCTACAGCCATAGTCCAGTGCTGAAACCACTACACCATGCTAGCTATCATGGGTACTACATTTTTTAAAAATGTAATGTCTTCCAATGACAATTATTCCAAACTTACAATTACTTCAGTAATACAAAAGGTATTTTGCTATGTCTGGGAAAAGTGAAAGTCTTGCATTTTAGAAGAATTGTCTTTGCTGGTGGCAATGTTGGCAGTTCCTTCTCCTTCTTTTTCCTTTTTAAAGATTATTTTTCTGCTGTCCCACATGTACTTTCCAAGACAACTTTTGGAGATTATTTCAATCCATTAAATATTGCCTTCCTCTGAGGCTGAGAGAGTGTGTCTTGCCCAAGGTCATAAAATAATAGAATCATAGAGTTGGAAGAGATCACAAGGGCCACCCATTCCAAATCCTTGCCATGCAGGAACTCAAAATCAAAGCATCCCCGACAGATGACCATCCAGCCTCTTTTTGAAGACCTCCAAAGAAGGAGACTCCACCACTCTCCGAGGGAGTGTGTTCCACTGTCAAACAGCTCTCACTGTCAGGAAGTTCCTCCTAATGTTGAGGTGGAATTTCTTTTCCTATAAGCTTTCATCCATGGTTCCATGTCCTAGTCCGTGGCTCTGATCCAACTTTTTGCCACTCCAAAAAAAAGCTGCCCTTAGCGCCACTGGCATAGCTCTTCTGAGCCCCTTTGGCTCAGTGTGTCTACATGCTGTGCCAACAGGGTCCCCTGACGCCGTGGGCCATGCAATGGGCCGCGCTGTGTGATAGCAGTGTCCGGGCGGCCGATGTACGGTCACCCTGCCCCAACTCCACTCCCAAGCTAGACCTTTTGGCTGGTCTGCACAGGCCTTAAGTCTCTCCTCATAGGGCATAGTTTCCAGACCCTTCACCATTCTGGTCACCCTCCTCTGGACTCACTCCAGCTTCTCAACATCCTTTTTGAATTGAATTGCTGCTTACATCAGTAGTCTAGTTTTTGTTGACATGCCTACCCACCCCTAAACACTAGTATGAAGCTTTTAAATTTGAATTTAAATGCTACTGAAAGTGAAAGTATTTGCTGACGAAGGGGGGAAGCAGACGAGAGCTTCCCAGACGCCCTGGGCCGGCGCGCCGCGGGGCCGCAGCCTCCGCACCTCGGCGCACCGGCGGCGACCCTGGAAGGAGCGCTAAATCAGCGCTCCTTCCTCAAGACAGCGAAAGTGCGCACTAACAGCGGCGGGCGCACTTTCGCTGTCTTTTCCGCCGCGGCGCGTTCGGCTGCCGCGGCGTGAGGTCTTCCCCGGAGCGCCGGCCGTGCAGAGGGCCGGCGACTCCGAGGGCGACCTCAGGGAGAGGAAGGGGCGCCGAACGTGCGGCTGCCCCTCCTCTTCCAAGCCTCCAAGACGACCCTATTAGTCGTCTGCCAAGGCCCAAAGTCCCTTTAAAGATCAACTACTTTAATATGGTATGAGGTACTACATCAAAATAAAGCAAGGATTTTGAAGGATTTTCATGATATTGCAAGGTGCTTTTCCCAGAATATCATTTAGCTTTAAAATGGATTTTGTGTGGCTATAGGATTGCCTCCCTAGAACAGAAAGATGCATCCTTCCTCCCTACCTGCTTTCATTTTGCAGATGTAGACATTTTTATTGAGGTAGGCCTTTTGAATTTTAATTATGGAGCAGTAGCATGTGTGTAAAATGGTGTGCTGTATTTCTGAATCTTTATTGGAAATTATGTTCTAGTAATAGTAATAACGACAGTATGTACATTTCTATACTGCTTACCAGTGAACTCAGCACTCTCTAAGTGGTTTACAATCTGTAAGCTAATTGCCTCCAACAAACTGAGAACTCATTTTACTGACCTACGAAAGGATGAAAGGCTGAGTCAACCGTGGAGCCCTGCCTGGGATCGAACTCAAAACCTTGTAGTTGCAGTACCAGCATTTAACCACCATGCCACCAGGGCTCCCAAAAATGTTTTAAGTTATTTTAACTCTTTTAATTGTGTTTTAATAATACTGTAGATTAATTCTTTTTAAGCTTTTGTAAATTAATTAATATTTTAGCTCAATCTTTTTAAATTACAGTAAATTGCCTTGAATCCCATCTTGAATCCCATCTTGGGAGAAAGGCAGGAATAAACAAATGAATAAATCTGCTCTGATTACATCCTTCTGGCTCAGTGTCCAGACACGCTGAGCCGGAAGAGATGCCAAAGAGGCACCATGCGGAAGGAGCACTATTTTAGCGCTCCTTCCAGGGATGGAAAAAGAGAGGATCGGGGCCGAGGAGTGCGGCAGCCTCGGCCCCAATCCACAGCTTCTCAGGGCGGCCCATGGCCGCCTGTCTGCAGAGGCCCTTTAAGTCTCATCGCTGCACTATTGGCTATGCTGGTAAAGGCTGATGGGAACTGCATTACAACAGATGTGGAGAATCACAGCTGCTCACCCCAATATAGTATCTTAACTAAAACCTACTTGAGACAGTTGGAAAGTTTGTGAAAGAGGTCTTAGTTTTAGAGCAACGGCCTACAACATTCAGCAGAATAATTGTGGCCTTCCTTGCTTTGAGGAACACACAGCCTATAAAATGTGTCAACAAAAAGTGACTGCCCCTCAGAATTATAAGAAAAGTTCCATTCTAAACCGAAGACCACAGATTTATTTATATATTTAATGAATAGGTAGTTTGTTCAATTTCAGGTACTTTACAAAGTTAAAAAGAAAATAGTAAGTATGAAAACATTTAAGGGGGGAAGCAGACAACTGCTTCCCAGTCGCCGCGGGTCGGGGCGCCGGCGGAGCGGAGGCTCCGCACCGCAGCGCCCCTGCGGCGAATCTAAAAGGAGCACCAAATTGGCGCTCCTTTTAGATTTCAGGGAAAGTGCACCCTAAAAGCGTCGGGCGCACTTTCCCTGACTCAAACGGCGCAGCGCATGTGGGCGCTGCACCGTGAGGTCATCCCCGGTGCGCCGGCCGTGCGGACGGACGGCGCTTCTGGGGGCGACCTCGGGGAGAGGAAGGGGTGCCGCTCGTGCGGCTGCCCCTCCTCTTCCCTGCCCGGAAGACGACTTTTTTAGTCGTCTGCTTAGGGCCTAAAAGGGTCAGATAAAAGCTTGCATAAAAGTCTGTGTTTAAAAGTTCAACAACTCTGGAGAATTAGCATGGCACATTCACTAAAAGTAGCAACAGGGGAAAAATGTTATTGAGATCCAAAGATCAAATGGTCATTTGCAGAAAGAATCAACTGTGAACTCCATACTTAACATCAGTACCTCTATGTAGTCAACTTTAAATGGAATATTTATAGCAATATATTGAGAACTTCAGTATCTGTAGTATCTCCAACACCCATAATATGAGGCATGTCACAATCTGAATCACAGTAGAACATATTTCTGGGCCCATATTCAGCACTTGCTATGATCCACATAGGGAGTTATGATGGTGTGTTTTGCAAAGAAATGCCCATTAATTCCATTCAGTAAGTCAAATCCATACAAAACTTTGTAAAGTTAGATGTTTCTGATGTATTTAAAATAATGCCAAAAAATAACATAGCAGTAAATCTAGCTTCTTTTTCTCTCCTGAAATGTAGTACTTTGAAACTTTTTTTGAAAAGATTACATGGCAGTTTTCCACACTTGCATATTTGTAGAACATCCAATGTAAAGAATCAGACCCAGGAAACTGATGACTCAGCCAAACCAAGATATGATATCACTGATGCAATTGGAAACTAAATGATTTTAAAATATAGCAAGAATTAGGGCCCAGTTCAGAAGAGGAAGGTAGGTGGTTCTGCCTCCCACTGTAGTCCCAGTCCAAATCAGGGCCCCCTTGCCTGTAATTTGCACTTGAAGGAATTTTTCCATTGGTATAAACTGGAGTTTTCCTCCCACTGCAAATAGCAGGCACAGAGTTCAGATCGGAACTGCAGCAGGAGACAAGGAATTGAAGTTTCATACCCCATTTCACAGACATACATGCACATAAGGTAACCTTGTGAATGATACCACTTCTAGATTGGCCTATATAAAGCCAATGAATATATTGCTTTGAAGTTTAGATTTGAATCACAAACATTTGTGTCTGGTCCACTAACTTTTTCACATGTCACAAACACACAAGCTGGAAAACTACCATGGAATTTTTTTTTCAATAAAAGTTTCAAAATATTACATTCCAGGAGAGAGAAAAAAATCTAGATTGGCTACAATGTTATTTTTATATATTATTTTAGAGGACACATAAGAGAGATCTGACTTTACAGTATTTTTACATGAATACTACTATAACTCAATGTAACATTTAATCTGAAACAGACCATCTTAAACTTATTATTCATCTATCTAATAGATGAAAAGTATGATAATGTAAACAGCTAAGTGCGTCAGTGAAAAAACAAGAATATAGTGCAGAAAAATATATATGAAATGAAAGATTAATGGGCTGCCTCTGTGGACTACCTATTAGGCAATAACTTCAATACAGTCATCACTAAAATTACAAATGCTGGTGAACTGTCTTGTAAACTGTCAACGTACAGCTACAGTAGATCACAGTCTTGTACAGCAACAGATTACTAGTGGGCAAACATTACTCATTCCAAATTGGACAAATTTTGTACAAGTTCCCAGTGATGGGTTTTTGCTAAAATGCAATAAAATAGAAAGTAAAGGTTTCTAGGAGTAGCTGCTGCTCATTTCCAACCAAACAATGTAATCTTAAATTTGATTGAATTTTTGCAAATGTGTCAGGCAGACGCTCGAAACTATTAATACTATACAAAACCAGTCACATTTCAATTATTTTTTATAGTTACCAAATAAAACATATTATATATGAATAGTGTTGCTTTACACACTATGTAGTGGCAAATGCGCACTTGTTCAGCAAATGAATACACCAAAAGATCACAACCAAACCAGCTTCTCTGGTTCATGTTGTTGTTGCTGTATGCCTTCAAGTCATTTCCAACTTATGGCAACCCTAAGGTGAATCTATCATGGGGTTTTCTTGGCAAGATTTCTTGCCATTGCAATCTTCTGAGGCTCAGAGTGTGTGGCTTACCTAGGACCTTATCACACGGGGTCCAAAGCAGACAGAATCCAAAAGA